GTTTCCCTCTCATCATTGTAGAGCTGCTATGTAACAACACGGACGCCATTTATAATTACATTGTTAAGCTTCTGCAGTTTCTGACAGCTTCTCTCATGTCAGTGCAACTAATCTCAATTAGAAATGAAAAACACAGTTGAGCGATTAGACAGACCAACAACTGTCCAGCTTTATTATCTCTATGTTGATGTGTAGCTGTGCTCGTCCATTCCCTCTGCTGGCTGTCACAAATGGCACAGTCTTCTTCATCCCCTGGGTCCCAGAGGCAAATGAGGTAGTTTAAGGTAAAAACATGCAACTTTAAATTATATCGCAGACATTTCGGGATAAATGTGGGGTAAAACACGCCTTTTCTCATTCCCATTAAGACTTCACAAACTAATTCCTCAACAGATATTGGTTGCTCTTTATCAACGTTGACCCACTGACCTCATATGCCTAATCATATGTAGTTGAGTTTATACGAAGCAAAATAATATATATTTTTAAATGAGTGACTTGAAGATATGTTAATAACAAGAGACAAGAGTATTCGTACTGTGTTTATTTGTCATGAAACGTGGGAAAGAGGATATGGATGACATTTTCAGTGCACATTCCCAGTTTATCTGTTTCACATAGCAGCAAAAGCAAAGAAGAACAGGACGGAGCTGTCAGTCATCCAGTTCACTAACAAACTACACACAGTTTTGTATTTTGTAGGCTTCTTACTTTTTCAATGAGATGTCAAGATAAACTTGCTATTGTCAACAATACTTGTCCTAAACAACACTGATCTGTTGAGTTTGACACCAACTTTCTAGTAACCATTTCAAGTTGCTGCTGGCTTCAGATTGTTTCTTATTCCTTCGCTCTTTCTCATGACTCTCTTTCCCATCGCATCTTCTCCCTCCCTCCTGTCTGTTGTTTTCTTACTGTCTGTCTACTGTCTCTCTTCCTAGACCTTTTCTCCCCTCAGAGTTTCTAGACATGAACCCCTTCTTCTCCTCACCCCCTCTATCCTCCTTTCTCCTGGGTGCCAATCAGGTGGTCTCAACCAATCACTAACCCCCCTTCCTCCTCATCTCCTCACAGCTGCTTGCTGAGTTTACGCGCCTGCCTCTCCCTGGCTTCGAAGGCGGCCTTGGTGTCCATGAGCTCATCCAGCTGCCGGCGGATTCGGGCCATGTCGAGCTGGGAGGCCTCACACTGCTCCCTCAGGGCGGCTGACTCCACCCTCAGCTGCGTGGCGGCGATGGAGAGCTGCTGGCTGCGCTCACGGCACTGCGTCTGCATCCTCTTGGCATCGTTCAGGAGGGACTCCACGCTCACTGCCACTGATTCACACTGACTGTTAGACATGTCCTGGGACAGAGACAGAGGGACGGAGGTCAGAGGTCAAAACATCAGCAGTGGAGCTGGAGACTGCACAGTGATTGTCTCAAAGACGTTGAAGCAGTCAGATGCTTGTCCAGTTTAAAGGCTCTCTGTAAGTCAATTTTGAGATTTAAAAGTGTTTTTTTTTTTCTTGTTTTAGCTAACTTCCTGTCAGTTCTTAGTTAGCAGTCCCTCCCTCCCTCCTCCTCCTCACGTCACCACACTTAACATTTGCTGCCTTCCCTTGTGGACCGCCTCTTTGTGGAGTTCTTTCTCCTGATTGGATGAACTGGGAACGGGATACTGGAAAATGTATTCTCTACTTACTGCACAGAGGGGGGACTGGGAGACCTGCGTTACTGACTGAACACTCTATATGAGGGATGGAAAATGTACAGCTGTTTAACACTTATTTTAACTACGAAGATGGCTTACAACACGTTTGAAGACTCTGCTCTACTGTCTAGAGTTTTGATCTGATTTGGCGGTGAACAAGATAAAAAAAAATTGGATAAAATGAATCAGTAGCTCGCAGTCAGACGTCCAGCACAGATCAACAGGTTTAAAACAGAACATTTGATCTGTGGAGAGTGAAGTAGCTTAAAGAGGCTTATCATGGCTTAGCTCAGTCTACACTGTCCACTGCTCTTCTCTGTGTTTCTCTTTTATCCCTATCCTACCAGTAGGTTTTTGTCCCTCATATATGTTTGTATCTTACTGTAGTTTATTATTCCAATCAGCAGCCCAATATGACAATGTCTTACCATGGACTCCAGAGTCAAGTTTATCACAAGCCTTGTGGTCGTCTTCTGAGACTCAAGTTGAAGACTGATGTCCTCCAGAGTGCGTTCTCCTCTTCGTTGTCCTTTACACACTTCCTGTATATGTATAGGAAGTAAAGCAGACAGTAACTCCAGGAATACTTTAGGTGTAGATGGTGGGAGAGGTTGTTGGACTTGCAGAAGAAGTTTTTCCTTTAAAATGCCAGTAGGTCTTCCCTATATTATTTTATTTCTCTCCGTCCTGCATCCCCACCCGGCTCTCTCTTTCTAGTCCCGTCTCTCCTCACTTTCTCTCTTCCTCAGGGCTCAGGCAGGGTCAGGTAATCCACAGAGATTAGACAGTTAAGGATAGAGAGAATGAGTCATGTTGTAATCACAGGCTCGTTCTGTCTATTTCTGATCTGTCGGGTAACTGGTCATTCAGTCATGCTTCCTTCCATTTCAAAATAACAATGATGATTGACTGATGGCCAAATAATGAATCTATATTCCAGGTCATGCAGCTACAGTATGTGTTCATTCACTACCAGTGTACAGATTGACTTCTAAATGTATGTTTTATGTGTATTCTGAGGAATAATACAGATGTAATTATAAGTATTAAATTTATTTTTGGGTTTGCTGATATAGACAGATCTTACCAGGTGTGGTGAAACTGGCTGGATCAGTAGTCAGAATCCTAGCCAGGCAGTGGTCTATTAGGCTGAGCTAAAATGAATATATATATATAATATATAATATAATAACATACTAAACTGTTAGAGTGGGATGGCACTCATTTTGAGATGCAGAATAAAAGTGATTATTAAATGACACACTGAGTATACTACATTTAGCACATAAAATACCTTACTAATGTATCTCTGGTACAAGTGAGTCATTACTGGTTATCAACCAGCAGAGGGAGACACAGTTCGACATATGTAGCGTCGTCTCTCCATCCCCTCTGAAATACAAGAAAAACATCAGAGCCGTTATGTTTCAACTCTTTGGTTTATTGGTTTAAAAAGTAGCACACACGTGTCAAAAAGCATCACTACAAACCAAAGGGTTGATATCTTGACATACAGCCTTTATAGGTACATTAACTCATAGGTACAACAGAGCAAACACAGGATCAGATTGGAGTACTTAATGAGCACCTGTGACTGAACCTAGACTGCATATTAGATGTAAACGTAGGGTTGGTTGGGAGCACATGTGTCATACCTAAAAGTTAAAATCCATTGGTAACATAATGTAATATAATGTAATTCCTGTTGTCTCAAACTGTGGCGAGTGATTCTTTAAGCAGTGTTCTGTTCACAGATTGAGATCCAATGACAACAATTTTAAGACAAAATGAAGAGAAGAGACAGTCGGCCTCAACGTCAAATGGAACAACTCATCATAAATAAAGAATAAACTTACAGAAATAAAACTGGTGGGCACAGAGGAGAGACTCACAACAGCACCCTTTTCAAAGGGTTAAATAAAACGGGAATTTTGAGGACCATGTAGTTAATAACTTGTCAAATGAGTGAATGAGCGTCTTCCCGGTGCATCATCAAAAAAAAAAGATTTGAGCACACTGATGAAATAAAAACAAATGAATGCCTGCAATAAACATTCTCAATTTCCTTGGTTATGTAAACAAAATATACCACGATCACTTCCTGAATGAACGAATCCACATTTATGTGTGATCCAGTGATCAGTCGTTTCTAGCGGCTTTGGTCTGTGAGTAAATGTGGGTAATGGGTAACAGGTTCAATCTTTGGATTAGGCCCAACAGGCTCTGCGCTCTTGTTGGTTTTATTGATCTCTTTGAAACAGACGAGGTGGCCGAGTGGTTAAGGCGATNNGGGTTCGAATCCCATCCTCGTCGAGGGGCAGTGTGTGTTTTGTATCGGTGTTCGCAAAACCCCCAAAGCTGACTCACAGATTACTGATTGTCATATAGTATCTAAAAAAATGTGTATTCACTGGGATACAAGGATGTGTACACTAAATGTATTTACCCTTTTTTCCACATCTACTCCCACATTGTCATGTTTGTTTTTTGTAAATCATCTGTGGCAGCCTCACTGTGGCCTTGCAGGACGGTTGAAAAATGGCTCCGTCTCTGCAGCCGTCACTCCCGGGTCCCCGAAAAGGCCTCCGGCAGGCCCCCCAAACCCTCCTACGATGGGCTTCGTCCCGGAGCTCTGACGCCTCTGAATGAACACCAGACCCCCGATGATGAGCCAGGAGAAGAAGTTGACCCACACTGCCGTCTGAGGGGGAGTCAGGGAGGAGGCAACACATGACACACAAAGATGAAGAATGAACAGTAATGCTGACTGAATCAGCTGCTATACGTTGCACTTTTAGGAGTTAATTCGCACATCTTGTGGAAAGAAATCCTTCTGCTCACTTCCCGTTTAAGAGCTCTTATTCCTGCGAATGTTAGGAAAACTTTCCACTTATTAAATTGAAGAGGTGATTAACTTAGGCATAACCATATTGCCACTTTAATTGACTGTAATGCAAGCGTTATGCAATTTCTTTGCAATTGTACCCATGTGATTCTAAACAAAGTAAAAAACTGACCTCGGCTTTGAATAGACTGTTGTAGAACTTTCCTCCTTTAATTGGACTGGCCCATTTTCTGGTCTGGGCCTCCTCACATCTTGAGAGAAGTTAGAAAACACATAATTAAGTTTCAACCCTTTCAAATCACTGTCAACAGTAGATAACCGTATCCACATATCCACTTCGGTTCAATGGTTATACAGTACGTAATCCGTTGATGGATTTGTCTTCAACTTAAAGTTTGTGGTGTTTAGTTAGTGTATGAACAAAGCAGCAGCTGCAGCAGATGGACCACGACAAGCCAGAGTTTAAATAAATAATGTTTTTTACTGGTGTTTCCTCTTTTAAGTGTTGATCTTTCAGAACAGCAATATGTAAGTTGAGTCATTTAAAGATGAATAACTCCTCAGTGGTTGTTCCAGTGTTTTCAGCTTGCAAAGTGCTGATGCCATTTTGAAGAAAGAAAGGGGACATCTTAAAATAAGTCCAGTCATGGGACCAGTGCAACATGATTACAGGCACAAAAATAAATGACATGGAACTGCTTTCATATGAACAAACAAACAAACGCTTGAAGAAATTAGAAAGCAACCAAACGTGAAGTAAAACTAGGCCGGGTTTCAAATGTTGTTTTTAGTTTCATTCATGACTTATTTGTGAGAGGTTTTGGGTTTGTGTGGAGATGTCTGTGCATGCCCGTGCTGCAGTGTGTGTCTGTGTGTGTGTTCGGTTGAAGCTCCACCTGTTAAGTGGAACGCGGTATGCCAGGTGCACGAGCGACCTCCGATCTTTTCAACATGCACCCCGTGATGAGCAGGAAGAACAGGAAGGTGCCGCACACAGCCACCATCAGGTTCATCCACATGCGCTCCCTGCGGAGGACAGAACAAACAGAAAGAGCGTGAGAAGAGCTGGGAGCTTTTTTTTTTGTTGAGGTGATGGAAAAGAGAAATCGCAGAATAGAATAGAAGTGTTATTTCAACCTTGGAACAAATGAGGAAGTGATGTCAAACTACTGCATGTAAGATAGCACTATGTTGCAATGTGGCAAATCCACTTTTGATCTACTCCATGTTTGTTTTGCCTCCTCACCAGATCTGCAGGCTGTATGTAATTCTTATTATTTTGGAAGGTATGATAGTTAACGGCTTTTTATCCTGTTTGAACTGTGCCACTTGTTACACTTATAATGCTTTTCAATTTATATCACCGCAAAAGGTTTATAGAAATAGTGAAGTATCATTTTTTTGGTGAAACCGC